ACCCAAAATCCTTTTGTGCTTCTCTATCTCCTTGTCTGGAAAGGCAGGTAGTGCCCATGGGTTCTTGCTGTGCCAGCCGCTTGGTGTAGGGACTGCTGTGGGGTCGCTCCCCTTCCAGGGCAATGGGGGAGAAATAACTGTTTTGTTATTGTTGAACAATGTTTTGGGTTTGTTTTTTTTTTGTCAGGAAACTAAAGAAATGACGTGTCAAAGCAGACAAAAAGCTGAGAAATTAAAAGCTATTCATCAAGCTGTCCATCGGTCCAGAATACAGTTGTGCTTTCCCAATTTTCCATGTTACTGTTCTTCAGTTGCCCTGTTACAGCAAGGTTGATAGCAGCCACTACAAACGTTAAGGAAATTAAAATGGAATAGCAGCCATTAGTAAATTCCTTTCCTGTTTCTGCACTTCTGATTTTAATAATCTGCTGGTGACTATCCAAATACGACAGGTCTCTGTTAGAGCTGAACAGTGTCCTCCTCAGCCTTTTGGGAGGACACCCTTTGGCATGGGAGTTGCAGCCATTGGTACTGCAACCTGTGCTCTCCTTGCAGAAGCCAAGCAGAAATGGTAGAGCTGATGAAGAAAATCTCTTTGTGAGAACTGCTGCTGCTTCTGGAGTAAAGCTGATGTTTGTGCTCATCCTTGAAGCTGAGGACACCCTGCTGTCCTGCTCTTGAGGTTGCAGAAATCAATTTTGCTTAAATAATGTGAGTCTTCCCTTCCTCCCTCACTCTGCTCTTAGGGTTCAGAGCAAGGAGAATTGCAAACACAGAATAGCAGAATTTTATTTTCCTCAGTGAAGCCGCAAGGCTAGTTGGCAGCTGCAAGCCTCAGCCTTTGATTTGTGAGCTGGAAACAGTTGCAAAATCAGAATTTCAGAAATAAAAGGCTTGACCATTTTTAGCCCCAGAGTTTGTTCCTCAGGGCTTGCATGTGTTTCCCTCCCCATCCGCCCACGGTGGAGTGGAAGGGAACAGGGCTTCCCCATCCCACCTGTAAAGAATCCCCAGGCAGCATCCTCCTCGGGCTCTGGACTGTGGATGGGGCTGGGGGGGAGAGGGGGATTCCTAGATTGATGGCTTCCCTCAGAAAAACTGCCACAGCTGAGATCTTGTGCTTTAGCTGCCTGTACAGTTGCCAGATCCATTTAGTGCATAATTCATTTTGCTCTCAGGGATATGCAAAGTATTTCTATGAATGCCAGATTATGTAAACAGGGGTTTGATTCTTTCTGTCTGTTCCAGGATGGAAACGTTAATAGAAGAGCCGGGGGACTTTGAAGTCAAATACAAATGCTGTCATCTCACAAATCTTCAGGATGAAGAGCAGCTCTACTTTAGTCAGCCTAACTGCATTATCTCATTGGACAACCTGGACTAGGTTTGGCCTGTGAAACCCTCTTTAATCCTTGCCATCAGCAGCAATACAGAAATGAATGTGTCTTCCAAACCAGCAATGTATGGACCAGCTCAGAGAAAGCATTAATGCTTTTGTGGGGAAAAGGAAAATGAACAGTTTATTTCTTAATGTAAAGCAGAGCCCTCTGTGGTTGTATGTTAACAAGTATTTGGCAGGAATAAAACTGTAAAGCAGATGCCTAAAAGAAAAGAATTAAATGTAGGGTTGTTCCTTCCCTGGGCTGTTTCTGCAGAAAGAGCTGCACAGTCAAGCTAAACCCAGCCCTTGGCTGTATCTGAGAGGGTCTGTACACATACACATGCTGGTTTGCTGTCACCACCGTTTCTGTTGTCCAGTTCAGTTCATTGAATTTTCCGGAGCAGAGGTATCTACTGTAAAAACCGTTAAAGTAAAATAATTGCAGGGGACGAAAGGAAAAGGATGGGGTGCTGCTATTGAGAGCACTTCGGAGAGCAGCAAGACAAATCATTTGCTGCTGGGGAGCAGGGCCTGTGACTTGAGACCCTTTCCCTGGAAAAGCTCACTCCAGGCAGCACGTGGAGCATGGCAGTGCTGCTCTACCAGCTTTGCCCTCCTTTTGCACCTGCAGCAGATGTTCAAACACCTTGGGCCTTGTCCATTGCATGTCTTGCCCAGCACAGGCACCTTGGAGCAACAGTACCTCCCCATGGCCACCCGCTTTGGCATGGGTTGGCTCCTGTACCTGTGTGAAGTGAGCGCTGTGGCCATTACAGCTCTGTTTGCAGCTTCAGGGTATATGTTCAAATGCTCTGTAAAAGCTGTCCTGTTCCTTGCTTTCTTTTGTGGAGGGTTGAAGGACCAGGCCAGCCCATGCCAGGTACTGCCCAGTGCTTTGTGGGGGGATTTTTGGTAAGTGACATGTGTCTACAAGTAGCAAAAAGCTGCAAATGCTTTTATTTCTGCTGGACAAGGCACCAGCCCTGCTGTGCTGCCCTGCATGGAGCTGGAGAAGGAAAGGACGGGAGATCGGTAGCAGCGGCACGAGGAGCCTGGCAAGCTCTGTACCCCCAAGGCCCAGCACCGCTGGGGAAGCGGCATGGTGGTCGGGCTCGCATGCCTGCGTGGTATCTGCAAACAGCGACAGTGTCAAAACCAGGCATGGGACAAAAGCTGTGTGCCAGCCGCCCCACCATGAGGGGAGAACTCTGCCATTCCCACTTGGTCTTCTGTCAATTCAGATCTCTTTTCTAGCTAATGATTTTCTGGGCCATGTAATATTGGCATGATCAAAGTCTGTCATGAAACATTAAAATCCAGAGGGATATGGATAAGAGAAAACACTGAGTTGCTTGAACATTATTCAAAATATTTTAATGTACATGCTGTTGCCACATTAAAGAAGGGGAAAAAACATCTTAGAGATGAAAGACATCAAAGGATGTGATTTCATCATGCCAAAAGCTGTATATTTCAAAATGACTAAAGCCAATAGCATCAAAATAGCTCTTTTTCTGGCATGTGAAAACCAGACCAAAAGGCATGGAAAAGGGAAGAGTGAACATGTATTTAACTGATAGATTAAGCTGTTCTGATCCATCAGGTAAAGAAGTATTCTTGCATTTGTGGGTTTTTTTGAACAGGTATAAATAATACTTTAAACACTTCTACTTGTATACACCTAGTAGGCTGGAACAGCTGTAGTATGTTGGGTAGATAGATAGTTACAGAGAATGACGACTGATATAGAATATGACAATAAGTTATGAAACCCCTACCACATACGGCGTTTGAGTAACGCAACAGTGAATGTCAGCCACAGGCGAGTGCGGTACCTGCCTCTGTTACAAGGTGAGAGTTGCAGGTTCGGCAGCCTGTGACTGCACCGTTGGTGCTTACAGTGGTACGCGGCAACCAGCCAACACCTGGCTCCACCACAACCCTGCCTTCCTCAGGGTGGGAGCGAGGGCATAAGGCCCCTGCCAAAAGCAGCCTCTCTTACCTCCCCCATTTGTCTCAAGCCCTTGGAGAAAATAAGGACAAGATTCAGCTGAAGGACCAAAACTCCCAAACTCCACCGGCTGCATATAGGTCTCAGCTACTTTCCAAAGCCCTTATCATAGTCAGTGGAAATCTTCATAATAGGGCTTAAGTCCAGCCTACAGTAGACATCCAAGTCTAGTTGGCTTCTAGGCTGATAACAGGAGTTTAGACATGAGCCATGTGTGGAATTCTACTAACTGGTAGTCTCTTTTCCAGTGTTGCTGGTAAAGCCCCATTCCTTAGTCACTGTCAGATTTGTCTCTCTCACTAGGCTCAAATGTGTCAAGAGGAGTGGGACAGCTGCTTGCCCAGAGATGAGCAGTTGTACTCAGTTTAGCAAAGCAACTGCCTCTCTTCGTTTCACTACTATCTAGTTAACCACCCTCTTCTCAGTGGGTTTCTCACCAATTTTCCAGCAGGACATCTATTCCCACATGCTGTTAAGGTTCCTAAGTAAGGGCTGAGGACAACTAAATGGCAGAGCGCTGCCCACAGCAATACCAAATGGTGCTGGAGGATCCAGTCCCCATGCCACAGACGCTGAACAGCCCCTGCTACTCCATGCTCTTCTGAAGTCAGTGAGGTGCCAGAGAATACAAGTAACACAGGGAAAGCTACATGACAGAAAAATACTGCAGAGCAGAAAAGGAAAGCGAGTATCTTCCCAGAGGGAGACTATTAGAGAAATCCCCTCAGTAGGACAGAGAGAAGTCTGGAAAGAAACTGGAAGCAGCAGGGTGGAAGAGGCTAAGAGGGGTGTGTAAGAGGCAAATCCTGAGGTTGCAACGTGACAGAGCAAGAAACCTTCACAGTACCATTCTGCCCTGAGTGTCATGGCAGGCTGAGTGGACCTGACCTGTGTATTCACCTCAGAGCCCAACCGTTGGCAGAGACAACTACTCTGCAGCAAGTAGAAAAGCGACCAGCACAACTAGGCTCCTATCAGTAGGACCTGAGCAAACGTGGCCTTACTTCTCCCTGACTAATGGAAACACGGTAGTGCGACAACTACTTCAGAGAAAAGCTGACAGTAAATAGCACAGGGAGGAGGAGTAGGCATCCTGAAATGAAATAAAGAGGAAGAAAACATAGGCCTAGTGGCAGGAACGACTTGGCAACACAGGGCTTGTTCTCCCTGCCTCGCAGAAACCCTGCTGCAGGAGAAAGCTAGCTGGCTGGCAGGCAAGGACAGCCTGTCCTGCCAGCCTGTGCAGTTTCTCTGTAGCCTCCCTCCGGGACTACCACTTGCTGAAAGGGAATTCACTCAAAACCCTATGTATGGGAGCTGCACGCACCAGGGCCCTCTTTTCTCATCCCAGGTTTAGCGAAGCCATATTGCTACAGATAACCTTCCATCAGTGAGCTTTTGGGGACTCCCTTCCAAGTGAGGGTTTTACCAGTGGGGATCAGGCTGAGCTAAAAAAAAAAGGGGGGGGGAGGATCTCCCACTCTCTCCCCAAGCAAAGCAGTTGCAGATCAGCAAAGGCTGTCGCAGACCATGCCAGAAAGGATGTGAATGAGCACTGCTACTCTGTCAGCATGGACTTTTGTGCAGAGCCCAACTCATTAGAAAGAATCAGATGCACAGCTATTTCATACACGTGCAGGGCTACACCGCACAGGCCAGGTCCGTGCTGCTGCGTAGCTGTAGTCCAGCTGTTTGTGCAGATGCTTCACTGTGAAAGAACAAAGATTTCTGAGAAGCCCAGATGTGCGTCCACGCATTTAATCAGCTACTAAGGTAGCAAGTTCGAGCATGTACCCTATAAATATTTTTTAAGCCCTTTAAAAAAAAAAAAACCAACAATCCCTTCTACTTCAAGTACAATGCCTTCTTAATGCAACATGCATGGGAAGAGACACTGTATGTCAAGACCTACATGTATCATACACAATAGACATTCTGAGCATGACCTGTAGGAAACCCACTCCCAGTACAAAAAAGTACCCAAATGCCAGACCAAATCTCCCCCTAAGAAGAAGGTGACAATGTTCTATTTACAAGAAAATACTGCTTCAGTTAAAAATACTAAAAACCATTCTCTTGAGTTCATATAAAAATAATCATGTCTATGTATGCACACACGTATTTACATACATTTATGGCTTTCACATGCTTCAACCTTCTCCAACAAATGAGGAAATATAAATACTCCATTACTGCTTTTTCTCCTCCTCAGGTTTTTCAGCCTCTGTTTCTCCAACTGATAAGGTGCCACTACCATATTTTTTCACTCGGGTTTCTACACTGGCAAGTCTCTGCTTCACCTTTTGTTGAGATGAGGTGTATTCTGCCAAAAGCCTCGCAAACCTAGTCTGCAGTGTATCCAGAGCTGTTTCAAGTCTTTCTATTTTTTCTTCCAAGTCTTTTGGGTCAGCTCCTGCTTTTGCTGCTTCCTCATCTATTAGATTGTCTTTCATCAGAATTTGTCGCCCTTTCTCTTCCAGAGCCTTTTTGGCTTCTGGATATTCTGTGAGGGCTTCCATTAAATCATCTTTAGACAAGCAGAACAAATCAGAATAACCAATACTCCTTATGTTGGCTGTCCTCCTGTTGCCAGATTTGCTACCTTTGATGTTGAGGATGCTGATTTCACCAAAGTAGCTGCCATCGCTTAGGACTACAAATTGAGTTACGCCATCATCCGCCACCACAGCCAGTTTTCCCTCTTTAATAATGTACATTTCTCTCCCAATATCTCCCTTTTTGCAAATGTAGTCCCCAGGACTGAAGACTGTAGGTTTCAGTTTCAGCACCAGCTCAATGAGAAGTCCAGCTTCACAATCCTGGAATATACGCACTTTCTTCAGTGTGTCCAAATGGACATTGATGGCAATTTCAGCCTTCAACTTGTCAGGCAGATTTTTGAGAACTTCCTTCTCATCCACTGTTTTCTTGTTGGTCCAGAGGTAATCAAACCACTTAATAACCCTGGCTTCCAGATCCTTAGTCACTTTTCGGAAATGCATGTATTGTTTAATGGAATCCACTTTGGCCTGGAACTCTGCCCTGGAGGCATTCATGTTGGAAATCATGGAGCCCACATTACCGACAATGGTAGCAAAGATCAGCACACCCACCAGGAAGTCAATGACTACAAAGAGATACTCTTCATCTTTCACTGGGGGAGGTGTTTCTCCAATGGTTGTCAGCGTGAGCGTTGACCAGTACAGACTGTAAATGTACTTTCTAGACAGGCGCCCATACTCTGGAATGGACACATTGGGGTAGACCCAAGAGTCAGTTCCAAATCCGATGAGCTTTGAAATTGCAAAGTATATACATGCGTTCCAGTGGATGATGATAAGAATGTATAAGACAAGATTTCCAATACGAAACATGTTTGGATAATTTGTCCTGGTTTCAGTACGGTCAAAAAACTCAAACAGACGAGAAATCCTCAGCAAGCGGTTAAATCGCAGTTCAGGGTAGTTCAAACCAAGCTTCAAATATGCCAGGTCTGTTGGCAGAAGAGACAGCACATCCAGTTTGAACTGCAGAGTTTTGGTATAATGATCTCGTAATTTCTTTTCATCCTGAACTAGCAAGCCTTGTTCAAGGAAGCCTTCAAAGAATAAAAATACGTATTTTACTTGTTAGAATAAAAATACCATCAACAGTACTGAGTGACTTATATTTCAGATACCTGAGAACATTAAATTTGTACTGTTATGCATACAGACATTGATACACTATGAGTTCATTTAATGACAAATATTTAATTGCAAATTTAAGTATTTCAATTAAGTTTCAAAGCTGATATATAATGATAAAAAGCAATGACTCTATTATTAGCACAGTGCTCCCTGCAGTTTTCCACTCTATTCTGGGACAGCTGTATCATCTTCTTTTAGGTATCTTTGCAAAAAGAAAGGGGAGGTTCAAATGTCTCATTTTTCATGAATCATTGCCATGAGTCATAACTAAAGTTAAGCAAGTGGTAAGCAATTGTGTATAAAATCAGAGTGGAATATTTTTAAATAAATACCAAGAATAAGTAGGTATAATGGATTGTTGGAAACTTTTTCTGAACAATATAGATATCCTTGAGATAAAAGAAATCCAGTTCCCCCCCCCCCCCCCACACATGTTTTTCCTGTGTGTTTATAGTGAGAGACCTACTAAGCAGAATCAAAAGACTTTGGAAAGTATTAGCTTTTAAAAAAATTATAAGACATAAACTGCTGTAAGAGACCTTAAAGCAAACTGCATCTGTGTAAGAGTTCTCGTAGAAAGGCTGCCTGAGCAGCACAGCTGCAGTGCTGTTTTGTACCTCTGAAAGCTCAAAGCGTTGAAAATGTTCCACAGGGAACAGCCTATGCACTGCAAAATACTTGCTGCAATTGCAAGTGGAGATGTCCAATTGTCTGCCCACTAGGCCAGTCAGGAGGAAAAGTCCACTGAGAGAAAAGCAAAACATTCCCTGTGTATCAGCAATTATCACATTTTGCTAATCACTTAGCAATCTACAAGCAGCAGCTTTCTCAGGGAGGCATCAGTTGAGGAAGACCAAGCTGCATTTCTTTGTGCCCTACACAGCATGGCTGTATTTCTGTAATGTGTGTTTATCTGTACAGCTGCCTCATGTATATGTGTGTATCTGTCTTTGGCTATCTGCAAGCTGATGGTGACTACAAATAGAAGTAGTTCCTGTGCCATGAATGTGTTACTTCCCAGAAAACTGCTGAAAAAGCTGGTCAAATATGCCCTTATTAACAGAGTTATGCAACAAAACAGAAAAGTTGGCCAGGCAGATGAATCTGACTCACAATTATTAAAAATAACTTTGGAAACACCTTCCTTCTGAAGGGAGATAAAAGCCCCTCGGCTCTTTGTCTCCTCGCAGAACTGAAGTCCTACAGTAAAACCTTCTGAAAGCATCAAAATGCAGGGTATGCTAAACACGACCAGCTGCTGAGAGACATGAATCTTTTCTGTTTCACAGTGCACAGTCACCAAATAGGTGAAATACAGTGAAACTGGCCCGGCAGCTAGAAAGGAATGCACTGCAGAGAAGCTGATGTGGGTCACGGTAGATGTGGGGCTACCTAGATCCCAGTTCAAAGCCAGTCACTGCCCTTAGACAGCAGGGAGTCACACTCTTCCCCAAAGGATTCCAGAACCTCTGTCCTCAGGGCAGATGGACTTTGCAGACTTACAGGAAAAAGCAGCAGGCACAGGCAGAGGCAGGAGGGGTTGTTAAGAGAGTTGACAAAGACTACAGCACCTAAAAGAAGCGACTTCTTCCTTACTTGTGTGCCTGAAACTGCAGCAGACACCTGCACTGAAGCATTCAGGAGATCTCTGCAGCAGTTCTGCAGTTCCAATCCAGGTCTGCAAAGCTGACCTTCTAACCATGCTTTAACAGCTGTACAATCATTATCAGGACAGCCCATGGAAATTTTGTAACTTGCATTGCCTGGCCATGCCCAATTTCTGCTCAGTTCTTTCCGATTACAATAACAGATATAACTGCAGAAGAGAAATTTAGTTGGCATAGTTGACATTTTAACTACACAAAGATGATGAAGCCCCCTCCACCCCAAATACAGCAGTCTTGTGATTTAGGCTGCTGTCTGAAACACACTTTCCTGTTGAACAAGGTACTTGCTAAGTTTAAGAATTTGGCTTGCCATGAGTTGTGTGCTTCCCAACATGACAGCATTTTTAGCCTCTGTCTTGTAATTATGTTTACAAATTGTCACAAGCCTTAATTAATGTCAAGCTGTCAGCATGATTTAAAAAAAAAAAGAAAAAAATGTAAAAATCAAAGATTTAGAAGATCATTTTTATAACTATCAGCGTGGTTTTGGACCCTTTCAAGGGACATTTGGGGGCTGCATCAATACCAGTAAATAGAACAAGCCAGGAAATGTTTTCTGGCCCCGAGACCATCTACCATGACAGCTTCTATTCACAGGGAAGTTTTCCCAGCCCCCTCCAAAAATGACACCATGAACAACACCAAACCTCTACTGTCCTTCCAGCTGTGCCCAGACACTGCCTGAGGGACTGCTAGCTGGCATAGCCCAAAGTACATGCACCAAAGTACATCAAGGACTATCCTAGCAATTTAATGGTATGGATCACTGTATGTCATTGCTTAGGCCTATATTATGACCTTGTTTTGTTTAAAACAGGTATCCCTTTAAGCCTAGAACCTGTATCAGCTGGGCACACACAAATATGGAATCTTCTCAGCCTCTCTGGACTACAGAAACAGGGACAGGAAGCTGAAGAGAACCATTTCATGCATGACATGGCACAGTCCTCACAGGTCCTTTAGGTTCACATTTCCTTCAGGAAGGCAGGACCTAAGCAAAGGTGCCTGAGTTAATCCCATACGACCACCCTCCTGGGTTAACCCTATACCACCACCAGGCAGTGGGAGACCCAGACAGGACCTCGCAGAGGCTGCAGGAAATACAGCTGGTGGCAGGTTCCAGGCAGACGACGGAAGACTGGAGGCTGAGATGAGTGCCAGGTCTTGCACTTGACCAACTCAATAATCACTTCTGAGCAGGATGCTGCGCAACCTGGCTAAGAAAGCAGCACTTGTGGGGTGCAGTTCATTTCTTGCCCAATCTAATGAGCACAAGGAGTACAGCATGCACAGAGTGATCATGACATGCAAAGTGCCTTATTCTCCCTTCCCCACACGGCCTGTTACAGTGGCTATTTGGTCAGCATCTGGCATGCCTATTAAGCACTGATGGAACTGACTTTAGGGACAAATGAAGTGCAGGCATTGGGAAGTCCAGCCTTAAAACAATCCAAGCTGGTTAGACACTTCAACTTCCCAAAGCCTCCACTGTTGGATTCTGCTGGAGACAAGATACTACATGCATTAGTCCCCACCAGGGAATTTCTGTTTCCAGCCCTTATATCCATGCTGTATCTGAAAAAACTGTAAAACCCTGGAAAGACTCACCTGTTCTGAATCTGACAAACATGTCAAGAACATAGATGACATCAGAGATATAATCCAAGAACAGCCATAATTTAACATGGTCAACTTGGAGCTCATCAAAGCAGGCTCTAAAGAAACAAAGATAGAAAAAAAAAATATTTACAGCAACTGCATAAGCACATATGCACATTACATACTTGTAATGTGCAACCTAGCAGTATGTTAGTGCACATTACTGGCACTGCAAAATTACAGGTAGCATACCTCCATGCCTAGACATCTGCACACTAGAGCTATGTCTAAACAGACACTAGTATCTTTCAGAATTCAAAGGTGTTCAGACCAGGAACAAAACTCAAGCACAGTATATGCCACACCAAGTGCACCTGTGAAGGAATATGCATATCCCTACAATTAAATATACATCAGATTTCATGGGATACACATCTCCATTAAGATAATTCCCAGAGACAAGTTTTGTTTCTGAGTGGCAAGCCATCCTCATCCCTCCCTGCCACCTGACACAGCCAAAGTGAACCATTTCCACAGCACTCCATTACTTTCACTCAAACCGATTTCCACATTTTACAAGGGAAAATAAATACTCGAGTAAAATCCTTCTTGCCCTTCAAGCATCTATAGATGCATGATACTAATTTAAGATGATCCCACACTGCCCACACCCCTCCCGTCTGTTCTCTGCTGGGTGATATGAAGACCTATCTCCAGCAACGATTACTAGCCCGCAGTGGCCAAGGCACATCCCTACAGCTAGCCAGTAGGTGGCACACAAAGGCCACAGCCAGCGCTCGTGAGGACGCTCATTGCAGGTGACAACAAACTTGTTTTAGACAAAAAGACGAAATGTTGGCTTTCTGTTCCCAGTGGTATGTATATTGTACATCCCTAAGGGTATATGAACTGTAAATCTTCTAGGTAAGCCACCCAAAAAATACCACAGGGACATAAGGGGATGCTTTATGTAGGAAACATAATGAGACACTAAATTTGAAACCTAAAATTATTAACTTAAATCCATACCTGCACACTAGCATACACCAGTTATAGAACACGGGTGCTGCAATTATGGTCAGCCAGTTGTAGTAAATATTGCTTGAAGGATCTATCACAAAGATCTCTTTTTTCTTCCTGGAAAGTAAAACATGCAGATTTAAACTGGAAATGTAATGAAGGGACCTCCTGGATCCCCCTCTTCTGGAGGCTGCTCATCTCATGATGAACTCATAGCTGCCTGAGAAAGTTTCCATGCAGGCAGCTCCAGATGAGATACCAAATGTTAGCTTCATCTCATCTGACATGCTCTGTTTATTTGCTTGGGCCAACTTTGGAAAAAGCAAGAGTGGAAAGAAAAACAGAGACATTCACGTTGCCACGGCTGAAAAACCACACTCTTCTGCATATGACCCCCACTGAAAAAAAGTAAAACGCTAAATGTTTATTATCATTCCAGCTAGAAGGCTATCGTCCATTGCTAGAGAAAGAAAGAGCCTTCCTTTGCAGATTACTTCTGATGTTTTGGCAAATTATATTATGGAAATGACTGTACATGTACACATTTAAACAAGTAAAACACATGTTTACACAAGTAAGACTGTGTGTGCATACACACATACAGTGTGTGACTATAAATAAAAGATGTACTATTATGTAAAAGCAAATTTCACACTCATAGTCCTGGCTCCCTAGGCCTCACAACAATGAGAGATGCTAAATGAAGTGTACAAGCCTGGAATTCAGAGAAGATTTAAAGAACTGCATGGCTAATGGCACATGTAGAGTATGCTCAGAAGTGCCCTTCCCCAACATGAGAAAGGCTGAGATGGAATAGACAGCATTAGGCATGTTGTATGTAATCAGAGGAAGTATGTATTAGTGGATTGTGAGATCCACAGCTGCAGAAGTCATGCCAACAGTAATGTGATAGTCTAATCTGTGAACTGTGTAATAGTGTGGGGAATACGTGACCAGGCAATGTTTGGATATGTATTTGCATGACTTTTCCTAATCTTCAAGAATGTAAATATATTAAAATGTAATTATAATTTATTTCATATTTCTGGCATTATCCCTGCTGTCAGCTGAATGTCCAGATGATAACATTAGTAAAGAAAGTAGCTTTAATCTAAAAAGTATTTACTTTGCCATCTTCACAACAGGTTTCTAACCATTTCTTCTAAAAACAGGTCACCACCTCAAAACTAGTGACCATGAAATACAGTCTTTATATGACAGAGTACACTACCTTCTAGATATTAAAACATTTATTTTCTTTGCTGAAATGTTTTGAAACACTTTAGGCTACTGCAAAGCTCAGTCTCTCACTACATAGTAATTGAGACCAAAGGAGAATCCCTACAACAAAGGCTTTCTAATCAAACAAAGCTTTGATTAAGAAAGTCAAGATCTTGAGATCAAGCAGATTCCATTTGGAAGCGATTCTCCATGTTCCCCTGCCTACATAGCACATGCCACCGTATACATACATCTAAACTTGCAGTATATTACTCTAACATACTCCTTAACTGTGAAGTCCATCCAAATGCATTCTCTTTTTATCTGCTACCATTGTTATTTTTAATGACTGGTAACACTAAATTGTACTATGTTTAGGTCAGCTTTGGGAGAACAAAACAAGAGCAGGATCCATTTCTGTCAAAAGCATTCAAATGATCTCATTTTGTTGCAGAAATACAGCATCTCCTAATCAGCAGAAGCAAACTTTAGTAATCACTAGTAATAAACTGCACCACATTAAGTAATTAAATATGCTAGTCAGTGTAATAACTAAACTTATTAGTAAATCTGTAATTTTCTACATGTTTTGCTCTTTGTCCAAACCAGACTTTTGGTTCATCTGCTCTGAATCATTATGGACATTCTGGAACAATTAAAAGCCAGTGCAGATCTGCAAAGCAGGCTGCCATCCCAAAATGCCCTCATAGTAAAAAAGTGATCTTCAACAGCAAATGAAAATGATCACAGGTAGCTGAATTCCCTTTCCTTCATGAACCTAGGAAGCTGTTTGTGGCAGGTCTAAACACAGGTCTCAAAGATGCAACAAGTTTGTTGAGCAGTGGCACCTTTCCAAAGGGTAAGATGTATTAAAGTTTTGACAGGCTAACATTCTGCAGCCTACAGAACAATAATTGTCATGGAATTGTTACAATGAAATGCCATACCATGGTTTGTAGTGTAGGAGTTGTGTTAGAAGCACACATTCATTATTTATACTTACTCTTCTTTTTTTTTATCATCTTTTTTGTCATCTTTCTTTTCCTCTTTCTTTTCCTCCTTCTTTTCCTCTTTTTTCTCCTCTTTTTTCTCCTCTTTAACCTCTTTCTTTTCTTCCTTTTTGCTGTACAACATAATGTAAGGCTTAGCAATATTACCAGTATTCTAGCAGTTACGGGAGAGGGTGGGTGTTGAGGTACGGGAAGCTAGACTAGACTCCAGGTAGAGTAGGACAAGGTTTCTCAGTGGAACCATTCATCTAACTGGTAAAAAAGGTTTACAGGCTGAGGCCTCTCGAACTGACACCACCACACCATTACATCACGTAACCAGCTGGCTGATTCTGTGCATTAGTCACCCATGCTTTTTTTACCTTTTCAGACATCAGTGTACCAGGCTGATTTTAATTAAATGCTTCCAGTTTGTTTCATTCTTTAGAACTCAGGCATTTAAAAAGAAATCTATCAAATGATAACAGAACTTGAAATGGCTTAATAAACTGTCAACATTCTTTGCATATCCAAGACCTCACAGTGACTGCCTGAAGCTTTAATGGTAATTAAATGAAATGAGGCTGAATTTCCTCTCACAGTTCTTTAAAACCAACATAGCTATAATTAATTAACTACCTCTGACTTCAAAAATTGCCTTGGAAAAGAATCCCAGCCAATGTCTGAACAAAAGCAGCAAATGTAGAGAAAAGAGATGTGTCTCATTTAACAACATAGTAGTCATTTTATAAATGCTTTACAGTCAGTCAACATGATTAAGGCAACCTATTTGAGATCTCTACAGTAGAGATCTACTGTATCTCCAAGATAGTCCATACCTCATAGTCCATATCCACAAGATGACTTGTGCCCTAAAAGCATTTTTTTCTTTCCAGCAACTGTAAAGGAAGAATGGGTTACCTAGTTCAGATGCAGGTGTCTATGTTTGGTCAGAGGAGCCATGCCCAAGTTGCTCTGCCTGTATTCGATTGCCACTGTATTCAATGGCTGAGCATTAAGTTCTATCCTCGCTAAAATCAATGAGAATTTTTCCTAGACTTAATGGAATCATGATTGTCCCCATGTTTATTAATTGCTTTTCATGCAATAAAGTAAAATATGGACCATTTAACATAATTATATCCTACTACTCCACAGTATCCAGCTCAGGCCCAAGCTGCAACATTTAATTCCAGATATGGATTTTTATACTGTTCAAGTATGTACAGCCTTTAGCTCATTAGAATGTGATAAGCTAGATATAAAGATGGATCTGACTTCCCCCATTCTCAGGTTTGTCTGAACAGAAGAGTCTTGAGCTATGTTAACTTATGCAGATAGGCCCACGCGTCCTCTTCAAAACTGCAGAAAGTTAACATCTTTCCTAAGATTCTGTCAATCTTAGAGCTAAATTTGCTACATGTATTGGTCAGGAATCATGTAAGCTGAAGAATGGCACTCATTTGCACAAGCAGAAAATCTATCATCTGAGATCTCCCTGTTCTGTATTTGAAATTTCTTTATTCCTTGAAGCAGAAAGTGTCCCCATTGATTAGACAGAAAAGCCTAAATGTTCCTGACAATACAGTGTATTTGGATAATGCATAGATAAACATAACTCTCCACACATAAGGTCTGGTTTGCATGAAAGCCATGGACTCCTGCTCCCATGGTTGCTACATGTTCTCCTCTGAACTGTCAAGATTGGCTCTGATTCTCCTCTTGAACTGGTGTCAATAAAGGACAAATTAGTTCAATGACAGCAACACCCCACGGCAAAGACAGAATATGTAGTAACAGTTGAAAGCGTGCTGCTTACTGGATTTGAACCAACAGGAAAAAGTTTAGTGAGTTGTGCTTTGCATGTATACCTGCTTGTATTACTCAGATCAGAAAAAAGCCTGTGCTGCGAATGGCAGTCCTGTCTATGAATGTGCTTGTTACAGGGAGAAACAAGCACTCCAAGGGAGAAGACAACAATCATCAATTTTAAGATAAATATAATAGGTCTAGTGGTAGCTTTTGCCATCAGCAATGAGCACCTCTCTCAATTCTTACCCTTAGACATTTCCATATTGATGCAGCACCACAGAGTAATTCAGAAATGCCCAGACTAATTTGCTAAAAAATGCTGAGATTCTACACTCCTCCATGTCCAGGGAAATAACCTACCAAGCTGACCAACACCACTGAAACCTTTAAAATTATACACTGCAAGGGAGCATAACTGGAGGAGAAAAGAACATTTTGGTTGACTGGTCTTCTGTTTACATACGCATCACAACTCAGAGAAACAGTTCTTCATTTACCAAGGTTGATTTCTACATGGCAGTGGGAACTGCTGCTCAAGTATTTATTCCTCTGGTACTGAATCCCCTGGACTTTTATGGCTTCTTTTTCAAATCTGCCCCAAAAACTCCTTCCTACTTAAAAAACATGTCAGGATTTCACTGCACATTACTATGCATGGTGCCTGACTTAAAGGCCAATTCATTGTTGCTGTTGTTAGCATTAACATACCTCCTTGATACTTCACGTCTGGCATTCTTACCAAAAAGGAAGAACTATGAGTAAGCACAATTTTCAAAGGGTAGGGCCACTGTACATTTCTGGATGCTGTTATGCAGGGAAAAGTAGGTTGAGACAGAGAATCAATCAAAACATCTCTGTGGTGGTGAACTCTGGAGGGAATATTTTGACATTTCCAACTTCCTCCTACGTTTTGTTTAAAAAAAGAGAAAAAACACTATTTCACATAGTATCTAATGCTAATACTTCTTCTTCTCTGCCCTGCGATCTCCTACAAACTCATCTGTCAACTACAGGTATCTTTCATAAGTGAGATTCTTCCATTTCTGTGGCCTCTGTTCATCTCTCTATTGTGGTAACTCCCAACTTACCATACTCCCACCTGCTTGTAGTCATGTGGTGGAAGTCAGTCGGAGGAAACAGTTGGCCATAATTGAAGACTTGAAAGCATCACCTACAGTTCCCCAAGGGCAGGCACTCTTAGGTCTTTAACATAATGAAAAAAACAAAGCTTCAAAAAGACCTGCGTCTTTTTTTCTTTATCAGTGCTACTGAGTAAACTGGAATCCAGTAACTAATAAAACAGTTGTTTGTGCCTGTCCTCTTTCACAGCAATACAGTGGCATCCATTCTGTGTTTCCAGCACATTAAAAGGAGCATGCATCTTCAGACTTAGAAAACATGTCTTCATCAGCCCCCATAAAAACACTGTCATAGTCTTTGAATGAGTCAAATATTAGCATTTCTCATCTGCCAAGTACTTCGCAAATCAAGTATGTCTCAGACTGTCAGGCAGGTAGACAGACAGGTGTTGTCTTCATTTAAAAATAATGAAACATTGGAAGGATGAAAGTTTTGCCCAAGGTACCGTACTTACATACTAATCAGTCCTTTGGGCCTTGACTAGCAGGCTAGGCTCCAGACTTTTAGCACTTTTTTTATACCAGTCTAAATAAAATTCTGCACCTTTCTGTCACTGTTCACTGCACACTGATTTTCCTTTTTAATAAAAGTTTTGCAAACCAAACCAAAAAGTTGCTTCAGAAGCAAGAAGACCTCTTGTTCAGGTATGCGCGCAAAGGTTTTGCAGTGTCATTTAAAATCTACAGTTTGAGCTGTGATGGAGCTATTTGGAGAAAAAATAAGTTTCCTGAAAGTATTTCTGACATAATCAGAACCTGTCCTGATTATTTTCAAATTTTGTTTTCATCTGGAAAGCAATGAAAAAAATTAACTATCATCATGCATGAGAACAGATCTGCTGCTGGATGCTACAGAGCAGATATGTCCTCAGATAGCTGTGGTGCAAGACATGCAACAAACATTGGTGTTGGGTGATTTTAAATTACAGGAGCTTTTCATCTTTTCAAGAGATTTATCTTTGGTGTAACACTGTGAAATACCTTGTCAAATATACAAACTAGACTCCAAAGGACAGTCAGAACTTCTGTTGCAATGCAAGCCTTATTATGTTGCCTGTCACTCTCTGCATCTACACCAACAATATCTGCTGAACTGAAATACACATTTTAAAAAGATGGTTAGTTTTCATTTAGACTGCACACACAAGTGTTTTCTTGGTACCTTGATCAGTATCCACTTCTCATTTGACAACTTGAAATTTTTGGGGCACTTGATTTACAAAAGGGCACTAGCATGTTAAAAGGGGAAAATGAATACATGAATCTCATTTAAAAACTGAAGAATTAATAAATCAATTGGCAATGCAGTAAAATCAGCCAGCTGAACTAGAGGAGGTAGGGACTAAATCCTTAATCAAATTCACTCCTTGAGAGGTAAGGTTAACTTCAGACAAAAAGAAGTTCACAGGGAACATGAAGGATGCTTTACATACTAAGAAAACTAGATCTTTCTTTATAATTAAACTATATTCTTAGGAAAGGCTTAGGAAGAGATAAGGAGTTTATACTACAAATGTTACTAGGCTGGAAAGGGAAAAAGAGAGGAGCTAGTAGTAGAAAGGTGTTTGGAAGTTATCAGTACTTACTCTTCGTTGGTGTTGTTGCTATAGTTGACATTAAGCCTGGCAAAGGGCCAGTGACTGCAGTAAGTTAAGTAAAACACATTAAAAGAGTGTAAAGACTGTTGGTATTTCATACACGTGTTTACCAACATGACAGACCGACTTACTAGCTTCTCACATATGCACTGATAAGATTAGGAAGGTCAACTTTGACTGCAGTGGTAAGCCCCTTTGCATAACTATTTCAAGGCACCAGTTTCTTTTTACCATGTGCTTGGCATACACATTTGTGACCACATCTGATGTCTGAAGCTTGTTCTCAGGCATATTAGTGCATGGCAACATTTTTAGCCCTGTACTCATTTGGCTACTATTTTAAGCCTTCTTCAATCCTTTCAAGTCTTCTTCACAGATGCAGTGTCAAGGCTTGTGGATAAGTAACAAGCATACCTACCACTGCTGCAGAATTAAGCCTACATGATAGAACAACTGGGAGTTACTGTCACGTGGCAACAGTGTAAAACTGAGAAGGCAAGGATGGATACTCCCAAATTCGCTTTTCCTAATAGCCTTATAAAGAGGTCTTTTGGCCCAGGATCAATGTTGTCCCCTCTAATTACTTCGAATCTGCAGTTGTTACTGATCCAGACATCTGAAAAAACAGACAACAGTCTGGCTAATTCCACAAAATGTGCTTTTGAGCTGAATTTCTAAGGAGTAGATCAAGTGAAGATAATAAGGCTGTGCTGGACCACAACAAATCAAGGTAACCTGTATCATGCACAGCGCTTCGAAGGGTCTTGCTTTAATCTGTATTACTAGCTGAGATTTTGAAACAAATCAACTTATTATTTGCTTACCTACCAATCCTTAATTATGAAAAAAAAATACGGGAGTAATTCAAAGCATAATGCCAAACAGAACATCAACTTTTGTCTTAGGAACTAATTTTCCTCTTTTAGCTGGAGTTAAATTTAAAACACTGTATCATATATTTATAATGTAATAATAATTCATCAAGTCAGAAGACTGTAAAAACATAAAGATTTCTGTTGCAAGTCTCTGTTGTTTTATTAGAAAAATTTTAAGATAAGACTGAACCTGCCTTCCATACCAAAGACTGAGTATGTGCTAATAAGTTAAGTCAGCAGCCACAATATTTTCTCATTTCTGCATCAGAAGGCTTCTGTAATGTTAGCAGCTGAAATCCTGAGTAGGTGTAACAAAGCATGACACATTTTGCACAACTGTTTGTTTGGAGTTTCCTAACACTCACAGATAATGTGCATAACCTTAATGTCCTGAAAAGCCACAACTAGCTACATCCTAGATTCTTGAAATAAAAATTGCATTCACCCTCAGTAAAGAGGAATTTAGCAACATCCAGTTGAACAGGTAGCATATGATAAAATTCCAGTTCTGAGAAACCATTCTGCCTGAAGCAGCATGATCAAAGTCCTTTATTTCAAGACCTTTGCCACAGTACATTTGAGGGGGGAAGAGAAAGTCTGCTGAAAGCTGTAATACTTCAGTTATGTGAAGATTCCTGGGCAGCATTAGATACTCTGTTCATCTCCTATGCTAAGCTCCTTACCCTCTTCTCAAAATAAAGCTTACATCCTAATCACCAAGAAAATACCATAACCTCAGTTGTCTTTGTTTAAAGTATAAACACATCTTCTTACCTGTTTACTCCCCCAGGGCGCTCACAGATACCCAGAAAGGAGCGGATGTTACTTTGCCTACTGGACACCTCTATAAGCTCCGGCCCTCTGATACGTTCTAGGAAAGAATCAGGTCTTTGGTCTTCATGGTGCGTATGTCTTGTGGCCCATGACCTCACAGATAAGACAAATCGTGATAGCCTGCATGGAACAGACATACACATTGACTGAACCAGACAAGAACATCAGATGGCTTAAATCATCCCCACAAAGAGTGGCCCAGGAAGATTCTTCTCCACTTCTCCACCTGCCATGAAATTAAACTTGATGGATTAACTGTGTGAACCCAGTCACTTCCCACGACTTCATACATCACCTTTTGCAGTGGATCAGGAAAGTATCTCACACATCAGTTCCTAGTCCACTGTATCAGCACCACAGGAGCAACAGAAGAATATTCTTGCCAAGTGGGAGCAAACCAAGTGGTTGGGGTGGGGCAGTTGACTTCTGACAAACTTCTGACATTATGTGATAATGGGTGAATCCTGGACTGAAAGAATTAGGAGATACAAAATACTCACAGGATCACATGCTCAAGGGCTGGTACACACAGTGGAAAAAAAAAAGCTGAATAGTTGCTGAGGGAGGATGGACTTTGAAATAAGGAATGATAAAAATTCGGTCACTTTCCCTGTGATTTTAAAGAGTCTGTCTGCAGACATATTAATTGCCTATGACATATAAACCTGCTTATTGCACCAGAAGAACTATTTCCTCATCCTAAATTTCTAGCAGAGCACTGAGATAAGCAAAAAATCATGACAACATAATTAATTTATCACTGTATCATTATGTATCTTTTTCTCTACCCACTAATTCACATCATGAATCCCTACAGTGTTTTCTGTCAAAGTTCAAAAGGAAATATGTTTCTGAAGAATTGAAAATAATGGAGACTGAAATCTACAAAAGTGATTACATTTATTGCCCACACAATATATTGTATTATTTCCTATCAACAGTCTAGTTTGGACAAAAGTGGTGTAAATTCAGGTTTCCCAAACTTGGCCTTGAAAACAGCATAATGAAATCCTGAACAATGCTTAACTTCTTACAGAGACCTTGGGCTACTCAAGGAAAGCTCTTTACATTCTCTCTGCATCAGCTAGTATTACATATGCTCAGAATCCACAAAGAGGCTGATATGAACAATTTAAATCTTTTGGTAAAGTACATCTGCCTCTTGATTGCAGTTCTCAAGGGCCTAGCTACACCTCCTTATAGATCTTGCCCGGGTTCTCTCACACTGAAATAAAACAGACAAAAAAGGCAGGAATAATATCACATACCAGAAATTAGAAAAAGATATTTCTAGTTCTTTAGCACTATACCAAGACAGAATCATATAAATCATCTATGACTGCCAACAATTAAGAGAATCTGAAGCCTACCAAGAACACAAAAGTGCCACATAAAAGTCTGAGATTATTTAATAGATTCCTCACCCTATTCAAAACACACTGCATAAAGTTAAGCTACAGAATTTTTCTCTTTGCCTGAGCAGAACTCAGCTTTCACATAAGGAGCGGTATTGAAAACTACTAATATGGATGTTTTTACTTACATTAGAAAATAAAGCATTTTTATGAGACCTGTTAGTTAATAAGATTGAGAGCCTCTCTGTTTGAACAAATAGAATTTTCTGATTTCTGCCATGCTATATTATTTTAACTTTTTTTGTCCTTTACATCTCAAAGTAAGATACTCAGTGAAGTCCATCAAAAGCTCTTGTCTTAGGTCCTTAAGAATTTGCTTTCAAGAGGCATGTTATGTTACCATAATATTTAAATGCTAAGCATTCATGTTTTCATCACAGGCTTCCTTGTATATTCAGAGCATAATTAACTGTAGCTACACACATGTGTAATTCATACTATCCTGAAAAAGGGTAAAGAACAATATAAACAAAGATTAAAAAGGAAGTCCTCAATATGAGTTTATATATTCATGTGCTTCATGTTTACACAAATACACACCTATAAATGTTTTCCACCTAAAGCCAACTTCTTGCAGACTTTGTAATCTACACGCAGTGGTGTCACTATCTGACAACCAAACAGGGAAATACAAATTTATCCTCCACCACCCAAAAGGGTGAAGTGTAAACAACACTCTTTAAATGACTCTAGTTTTATAATAATTTTTTCTTTGCTCTTTGAAATCCACTATGCTTAAACTGAGTATGGCCTGTATTGTGTGTAACAATGGTATCTGAAGACAGAGCTCTCTAACCTCAGCTGGAAATATTTAAAGGAGACACAGTAAGTTTTTGAAGCTCCACTTTAGGTTTATGTTTAAGTCCCGGTAAAGTAAATGACTTAAGCAAATGGTTGACTTCAGTTTTGCTGACTAAGGCTCCCAATCCTTTATAAACATAACTGGATTCTAAAAACTGAGAGAAACACTTGCACTCCCAACACAAGGGCCCTTGTCTCCTCCCTTGCCAACATGGGAACAATCATCATGTCTTATTTGATAGGAAACAAGTATTGCATCAGCTATCAGCCAGAACGAAACACTTTACCCATTTACTTTATAGTCTGGCCTCACTTCATGCATTTCCTCAGCATTCAATATATTTTCAGATCTGATCATGTAAAAGTATTGATCATGTAATATTTTTTTGTATTCAGACTAATTTGTGTGAGCTCAAGGTTTTTATTAGAAATGAGTAATCAGAATCAAGGTCAAAAGCAGCTTCTGTTACTTTTTATAGACTTTTTTCAGCTGGACTCCATATATTTTCTTTGGAAAGTGATGGTTCTTACTTCGCCTCCAAATTGTGATCAGTCTCTTTCAACAAGTTAAACTTAATACTGGAAATGGTATTAGTTAGCATGTTACCTTGCCATTGCTCCGCTGCCTGTGAATGAGCTTGTCTGGGATTCATATACATGTCTTCCCTCCACAGAAATGACTCTCTGCAGTTCTGAAGATGCATCCTCACACAGTGAATGGGTTCTGCAAAAGCAAATATTTTTTTTTTAAGAATGCCATACAGCCTATAGCAGTCTTCCCCCATCTGATTCTTTCCACCACCACGTCAGGAAACAATGCAGTAAATTGTCCTCTTCCTAGTAATATGGCATCCATTTGATAAACCCATGAGCTTAGGCTATATTCCTACTTTTCTGGAACCATCCAACACCAAATGAAGTCAGTTGAGGCTCTGCCATCTGTTCCAGCAAGCTCAGAAGCTTACTCCTTACTGGTCAGTACTAGTCTAGTGTGCAGATACACAATTATGGGAAGCATGTTTTCTACTCTAACACCTTCTGTAAGGCATCAGCAACTTTCCTTCAACATGGAGTTCATCCCCAGGGGACTTTAAAAGGGACTGTCCACTGCTTTTTTCAGCGTTGTTCTCCTATACATTGTTTCAGTTTAACAGTCTGGAATTTCTACCAGTGCAGTTCCCATTTATAACTCAAAGCAAATACACATCTCTTTTTGCTTTCACTCTTGCTTGGACTGAGAGGGAAAACAGTGATTTTACAGTAGTTAGCCCTGAGCAGCACCACTGCTGTTCTTACCAGACTGTTGTCATCAGCTGCACAACTGCAGACCTAATGCTGCTTGCTTTGTACTTGAAACTTTACCTATTGCATAGCAAAACAGGCTACAGACCTTCAGGGCTGCTCTGGCAGCAATGAGATGAGGCACCTCAGGCTATTACCACACATGGAAAACACTGTAACAGCCCAGTTGTGCACAACTGCAGATAGCGATTATAAGGCTAAGCTACATGCAGTGTCTGCCAACTCCCGTGACTGTAAGACTACTTATTATCACTGAAATAATTAGCATTTGAGAAAAATAGATGAAATCTTAGCCTCATCTTTCAGTAACGGAGTTTTGAAATTGACTTCACTGGAACCTGGACTTTACCAGGGCTCACTTTGGGTTTTTTTATAAGACTCCTAGGGTTTTCTCTGTGTTTTTCATTCTTTAGTATTCACTTTTACAAGACTTTGTCACATCCACTAAGGATCATTTTTTTCCCCCCTTTTTAACGCAAACAAGAACTCTCACATGAGTCTGTTAATCTGTATTGCCAGGAAAACACTGACTATAATGATGCTTGCAGATCTTCATAAGAACTGGCAACAGCATTTTGAATGCCCACAAAAGGACAATTAGCAGCTCAATTTAGTGTGTACTCACAGCTGAGAAACTGACAAACAGAGAATTAAAACTTTATTATTTCTACACAAAGAACCATGCTAAAAAAGATAGGCTCTGATAGTCCCAGAATTCTCAACTTGTTAACTGTTTTCTTCTTCTCTTCTAATAAGAAGATACCAATAGACACCGCTTAGTATTGAAAAGCTTTTATAACCTAGTTTATGTTGTGGGTGCTGAGAATATTGTGGATGCCAAAGTTAACATGGCTTCTAGGGAAGGATGAACAAACTCATGGAACAGAAATCCATTACGGATTACCAGATACACAGAGCCCACATTCAGCTCAAGAAGTCTCCTGAGCTGGATGTTGGGAGAGTATTACAGGAAAGTATGTTGCAGATACTTGCAGTTTGCCTGCTTTTTTTTTCTTTTTTCTGGAGTATTGCATTTCATTTTTACAAATACAGCTTATGTATATCTGCCACAGGATCAGAAAACAATACATAAAGGACTCCGCCAGGCAACTCTTATGAAAGCACCTGTCTGATATTACACAGCAATTACAAACATTCCACATCAATTCACACAAATGCAAATCAAAAAGTAAATCTAAAATGAACTCTTCCTTCCATTATTATAACTCCCTATTATAAAACTCATATACCCATTCTTGACTTTCCTCAACCCTGTTCAGATAATACAAGAGGCCTTATTTGTCAGCTGGCTTTATATTGATGCAGAGGGACAGGCACAGATGGGGCTTTTGATGTTAACACCTTCAATGCATGTGGCATAGTTTTTACTTTATTTTCACAAAGACAGACTAATTCCCATCTGGACTCCATAAGGGTGTTTGCTATCTGCAGCGAAACAGTAACCACTGCCATTACTACCCAAAGGTGTTACATAGTCTGAAATCAACATGAGAAGAGAGCAGGTTACAAAGCAGAAACATCAGCAGATGATTGTGCCTCCTCAGCTTATGCTGAAAAATATTTTATTTCCCCAGAGGTAGCAATGTCACTATATCTTAGAGAAAACTCACTGCCACTGAGGCTTCTGCTCCATGCCTCTTCAGCTCTGTAAAGGCCAATTTATTCCCATGTTTTCAAGGTATCTAGTGGAATAAGCTCTGGGAAGGGTACATTTACAGCACCTGCTCTGTGCCTGTCCCTTGCCTTAACTTGATTTAGCTCTAAATTTGCACAAAGATCTTCAAGAAAACCCTAGAAGACCATTTTCACCTAAAATGCAAATAAACCAGAATTTTCATTTAGTAGTAATTGTTTTGAAGTTCTGATCAGTTAAACAGGAATTGCTGAAGCCATTTTGAGTAATGACTATGAGCCAGACTTCAAGGGCAGGATTTGGCTCCAGATGGCAGTGACCTAAATTAGGGTGTCTAATATAAGCCGAGTATCTAAGTTCCCATTACAGTCAATTGCCATCTTAGGGCTTGATTCAGTTGCCTCAATACAGGAGTTTAGTACCATTTGGAATACCTCAAAACACTTTATTTGACCTCTCCAGAGCACACAGGTCTCACCTCATATCCACTAGCCCCAGCTAAATGCTTCAGATACTCTATGGTATCTCAAATAGCTTTAGATGCCTATTTTAGGCAACTAAATACCCTCATAATCAACAGAGCCAAATGAGCCTGAAGAACTATTCAACTTCAGGGTAAGCTGAACAGTTCCTTAGGCACCACTGACTATTAGTACTGACTACATCTCCACTGATGACAGCAGGAACTTAGACACCTACTCACAAAAAGACACTGAAATCCAGATGTCTACAAGACACAGCTGAATTCTACTTCCCAACTTCTAGATAGCCAACCTGTGTCTATAAGCTAATGTGCTGCCTGTCCTATTTGAGCTGTTTCTGTACAGAGGCTGGATTTTAAAAATGAAGACTCCTTTGTTATTTTTTGTTTTGTTGATTTTTGTTTTAACAAAATGAACCAACTTTATAGTACACTACACTGTAAGAATATGGGCACATGAATCACCTACTCCAGCATAACTGAGAATGACAGTTTAAAGATCACTACCAGTTTTCTGTTAACTCCTGCAGTGAATGCTTTTTCTTGGTAATACCTCATTCCACAGCAGAAAAGTACTTAAGCACATCCTTAGCCTTAAGCATAAATTTAACACCCACTGACCTTAATGAGAACTAAGTATGTGCTTAATTGCTTTGTTGAACTATAGTCAACAGGAGTTGGAAGAAGATAAAGGCAAAGGAAAAATGCTGCTACTCTAGGAAACCTGGGTTTCTTCCAATGTCTATAGTTGTATATTGTGCTACAAGACAAAGAAGGGCCAAAATTTTAGATGGGATCTATCTTTTGGTACAGACATATTCTAAAACAAATCTGAATTTAAAAAACGTGTTTCGGAATTCTTTGGTATTACAAAGGTATTGTATATACTTACTAGCAATCACTTCAGCAATCCAAAAACCATAAATAGGAGATTTCCTTTAGAGAGTAAGATTGTATCTTTTTACTCATCTATGAACTCCTGTAATTAATGCTGATAACAACAAACTTTTTTCGCTATATCTGTCATAAGCAAGTCATTGCCTCTGAAACTGCATATGACTGCAGCGATTTAATTCTACATTTAAACCTTTATAAACACACTCTCACATCCCTGCCAGTAATTCCATTCTGTGAGCTGCCAATCACTGATACCCTCTACAAAAACAACATTAAAAAAAGGAAAGGAAGAGGGTCATTTTGATCTGTGTTTTCACTGTTTCTAAGGTATCATTGTAAATGGAGACAAAGGGACACGGCTCTTGCAAATCTCCCTAAGGAGACCATGGGGTAATATAACTAAGTCAAGCAAGCCATACTGTGCAGAATAAAAGCAGCTCCATTTTCACCAGTGTAGGTACACCTACATGACAGAAGGTATCATGTAAGCAAAGCAGAAAGAAAAAAAAGGACCGATTCAAACAGGACAGTGATCACATCCATACTAGATGCTAGGGGCATGCAATCCAAAATTATCATAATGCAGGCAGTCCTATGCAGGATTTTGCATAGCAGGATTTTAAGTGCTCTAGGCTGGGTACACATTTGAACAGCAAGAGACAGTCTGACGAGGTCCACATAATGGAGGTGGTTGACCATAGCAAGCCAGAAGCAGAACACTTTTCCCAGTCTGTACAGGTGCTGTGGATCATCAGACACTTTCCTGCAGGCCCAGCAGGGTTTGCCCAGACTAGACAAATGACTGGTACTACATAAAATCTAAGTGCAAGCTCACTGGCACATTTTTAAACAGCCACTTTAAAACTATCAAAACAGAGAAAGGTGAATGTAAAGAAACTATTACAGTTCCACCATACAGTGAGAGACTCTGAAAACCCAGTACAAAAATGTTGATATTCTTCATACACTACAAATATTCCCTATCACAAGAACTAGGCGATCTGCAGAGGTTACTTTTAAAAAAAAAACTTCTGAGGCTTTTCACTGCATGGCACTGGAAGGATCACTTTTACTCTAAATCCCACAGACTCTGTGGGAAGCACAGACCCTGCTATCTGCGTGGTGACTTGAGAAAGAGGTTTCTCCTTAATGAGTTGGTGTAATTCCCACTGATGTGAAAATGGGCTTTATTCCTGAGGTAACACAGATTCTGGTTCTAAAACTGCAAGCCATGACAACCTTCCTGTTGCTGTCTCTTCGGTACTTTGAATATAAATTGTTAAGTCAGTTAAGTGCACTGGGTCAACAATATCATGATATAACACTCCCATAATGCAGAGCTAGAGGAATGCCACAAATTATGCAGCAATCTGTCCTCTCAACTGTGACGAAAGGAATATATTACCTGATACAGCCGTTTTCAATCCTTTCAATATCTTCATCAGGAGTCCTGAGAGACAGTCTGTGCATACCAGCGTAGGAGTGCTGGGTGTTGATTTTTGCCATTTTGCTTTACATATCAACATCTAAATGACAGCTGAAACAGGGGAAAAAAAAAAAACATTTTGTGAAGGCTGCAAAAGAAATGTGCTCAGCCCTTAAAAAGAGCAATTTATTAAAACAATGGAACAGCAGAAATTAAATTCAATCATTTGAAGAATAGCCAGTGATATTTACACACACAATATGATACCTATTTCTTGATTTATTTACACTAGACAGAAAAAAGTGCTAGTAAAAGTGTAACAAAGAAAATTCATCATGACCAAAGAAAAGGGTTACATGATGCTATATTCTTTTTAGTCTCTGGACTTTCTGAATACCTAAACTCTCATACCTATTATCCATAGTGAAATTACATTTAAAAACTCATTAAAAGAAGTTTAGAGTTAGGAAGCCAATCAAAAAAAGCTAGGTAATACATGTGCTATGACAACCCATTCCACTTTGAGTTGATCCCCTTTTGCTAATTTTATCTATTTTATGATTAAGTTTTTTATTCTGAGAATGCATATTAACCAAGCAGATAATTAATGAAATGTATCCTTCAGCTTAATATATGCCATGCATTAATTCTATATTATCTAAACTCTGCACTAAACACATACTAGGGGGTTTTTTTCCCATTTATTTCCATAAGTCATTTTTATTATACTGCCTTAAGACAAGCTCTGTTAAGATATTTACCAGCCCAGCTCCTATAAGTTTTAGGAAATTTACCTAAATTACTTTCCAGATTTGGTCTTCAATGCCTTACCAAATTCATATTACATCTATCACCTGCAAAACAAGTTTTAAGACTCAAGACAAGTGTCTAAAAAATGAGGGACTGAAAGACTTCCAGTGAAAGCTTTGAATTTTGAAACGTTTTTTTTAATAGGATATGAAACCAAACACTATTTTGGATGAAAAACTAGCTTCTTAGAAGACGGAAAACAAGAATGGGATTAAACAGTCACCTTCACCACTACAAAAGTTTAAGAACAATATTCCTCAGGGTTCCATAGGAAAACCTCTCATTAATGATGCTGACAAAAAGAAGGAGCAGTGAGACAAGAAGATCTCAGGATGGCAAAAAGTACTATAGGCAGGAGAAAGAAGTGGAGTGCAAGGAAATTCAGGGTGATCCACATCAACTAGATCAACTTCTCAATTTGACGGCAAGTGACGTGCAATGTAGGCAAATGGAAAGCAATGAATAGAGATGAAAAGCATGTAAACTACTGCCTTACATGCTTCCAAATTAACCGTATGCTCTCAGAAAAGGAACCTGAACACTACATACGTACAGCTCAGGGAAACACCCTGCTCAGTACCGGGCAGGCTTGCTGACACAATAGCTAATGATGTACATATGGAAAGCATTCATGACACAAAGAACACTAAAACTGCTCCATGAAACAACAGGGTGGACTTATCTGGAACACTATTAGTCCTTCTCTCAAACAGAAAGATACTGCAGAATAAAAGCATGCCATGCTTAAGGACATAGAAAAGGGAGAGAAAGAAAAATGGGGCTTGCTCACCCTAGAAAGGCAAAGAATAAGAAGCTATAAAATAAAAACATGCGGGCAAAATTGGAGCTTGTTTCAGAGCCCTTACAATTACTTCAGCTGTAAAATCCAGATTCAATATACAATGTGGTCTGAACTCTTATTCTGCACTAGACTGAAGGAAAGGAGGAGGTAAAATTTTCACAGAAATACAACCCTACTATTATGCAATAAAATACATTAATATATTTTTGGAAGGAGGTAGGGAGAATGGATGAAGGTTCATTATTAAATTATGCCACGCATGCCCACCTGTAGTAGAGAGAGACACAGAACACAGGACTGGTAGAAATAAATAATGCAGTAATTTTGGTACAGCTCACATGGTGAGACCTCCTGAAGCAACATGGTTTGGCCCTGCATGAAGCACATAAAATTCTGACACATTACTGGCTATCTCATAAAGGAGAAATACTTGTTCCTTCTAGGCCTCCAAGATTCCTAATGATAAATGTGTTTAACCGTCTACGGAGGAGATCAGCATTTCAAAACTGGATCCAAAATCTGGCAAGTGACTGACTAGGGAGCAACTTAAAATGAGCACGGAGCTATCAGGAGTCAACCAGCAGGAAAACGCTGCAGAGTCATAAGACTCTGCAAACACCTTTTGCAGGGCCCCAGAGAGACAGCTCCAGCTAGCTGGGATCTACAATCCTAAAACTGCCACTAAAAGCTGGTGCTTACAAGATGGTTTTAAGAACTGAGTAGAGCTCAGCTTTGTATTTAAAAACATAGTTGTTACAGTAGTGTCGTGGGTTGCCCTTGGCTGGCTGTCAGACACCCACCCAGCCACTCTCTCACTCCCCCTTCTCAGCAGGCCAGCAGGAGAAAGTAAGATGAGAAAGCTCATGAGTCGAGATAAGGACTGTAAGATCACTTACCAATTATCATCACAGGCAAAACAGACTTGAGTTGGGGAAAAGTAAAATAGAGTTGGATGGTGAGAAACAAAGACAAAAACACTTCGCCCCCTCTTTTTTTCCCCAGATTCAACTTCACTCCTACATTCCCAACTCCTCCACCTCCTCCACCCTGCCCAGCAGTGCAGAGGTGGGGAATGGGGGATTGTGGTCAGTCCATAATGCTTCCTCTCTGCCGTACCTTCCTCCTCACACCATTCCACTGCTCCAGCCTGGGTCCTTCCTACAGGCTGCCATCCTTCAGGAACTGCTCCACTGTGGGTCCATCCATGGGCTACAGTCCTTCAGGGTAAACCTGCTCCAGTGTGGGTCCTCCATGGGCCACAGTTCCTGTCAGGAGAACCTGTTCCTGCATGGACTCCTGTCCACTGGCTGCAGTTTCCTTCAGGAAATAGCTACTTGGTCCACTGTGGAGTCCTCCACAGTGGATATCTGCTCCAGTATGGTCCTCTCCCTGGATGCAGGGGAATCTCTGCTCCAGGGCCTGGAACAACACCTCCTCTCCTTCTTCTCTGACCTTGGTATCTGCAGAGTTGTTTCTCACGCTTTTTTCCGTCACTCCTCACACACTGTCTGTGAGGCATTTTACCCTTTCTTAAATACGTTGTCCCAGAGGTGCTACCAGTGTCTCCTGGTGCTGACAACGGACATTCCTGCTGCTGCTCTGGTATGTGTTCTCAGAGCACTGCAAATCCATGAGAAAGCCCAGAGGGGCTCAGCTGTGCCTTGTGGTGGGTCCACTGGAGCTGTCTGGCAGTGGCTGTGTCTGGCACAGGCAGCCCCTGGCTTCTCCTCACAGAGGTCACCCCTGCAGCCCTCCTGCCAGAGCCTGGGCACCTGCCCCCAATGCAAGTTTTACCCTCAGTGTAATTACTAGCTTTAAATATTCAGAGCAGAGAGTGTACTTCAAAGATAATGGAGATTTTATAAAAGGCAGAAATCTACTTGCATTGGGTGCGGGTGAAAGAAAACAAGTCTGAAAAATCTATGTTGGCCACTTAAAACAGGCATTTAGCTCACAAGCAATTTAATGACAGACAGACAGATAGTCCTTTGAGCCTGAATCTAGTTACCCAGTTTTAGGCAACCAAATTGGAGAACTGGATCCTTAAAGTATCCTTGTAATTTTTAATGTTCCAGAACTAAGCGACTTATCTTTAAGCACACCAAGTCAAACTACAGAAAACAAAAACTGCCTCAGGTTGAAGAATTTTCCAGTGTCTGACAGCAAAATAAAACTTATCTGAAACAATCCTAGCTCTTGAAAGACTGACATCTTTACCAATGACTTAACATGCTTTCTCACTTAGTATTTCTTTCCTTGCTAGCAATTGTACTAACCTCAAAGAGATGAATAATAATTCCACACTCAAGGATATTGCTTTTCAGCACATAAATCATTGAAACTAGAGCTAAATGAGAAAGACGTATTATCCTACTAAAAATAAAACAAATTATACATTAGTGAGAGCTCTCCCTACTCCAAATGCAAATAGTTCACGTACTCTTTTATCCTCTTCCTTTTGGATTCAATAGCAACTGATGTTTTGTGTCAAATTATTTTATATGCACTGTCTGGTATAAAAGACCTGTTTTATCAAGACAGCCAGTTGCTTGACAACAAATACAAGTTCAAGTAAAATACGAAAACTTCAGGTTCACATAAGCATTTCCTAATTTTGCAAATCAGGTATGAAGGCTGCAGTATCTAAATTTTAGGAGCTGTACCATACAGTGGATTTCCTACAGAAGGCATGCAGAAAATCAGGTACCCAGGAATAAGGCACTGAGAAGGAAGCTACATATGCCAGCCAATACTAAATGACTGAATCTAAAATGGGAGACTGAAAATAAATGGGCATCTAACTCCAGGCCAAAAGGAGGTGGCACCCAGTTCACAGCCATAACTCCCCCCTTTCTCAAGTCTATTCACCCATTTGCAGCAAATTGCATTGTGCTTAGGAGCTGTACCTCAAAAATGAGAAACTTTTCAAGTCTGCTTCAAATTAAGCAAGCCAAAATGACTTTTCCCCCTTTCTCTGGAGCCTCCAACCAATAGATGATGGGATACACTCACACATACTTTCTCATGGATTTGCAGTGCTCTGAGAACACATACCAGAGCAGCAGCAGGCATGTCTGTTGTCAGCACCCACTGCAATCTGGACACACTCAAGGCCTCTGAGCTGCTTCCTAGCCTAGGTTTCAGATGATTTTGCACATGCATAGTACCAAAAAAACCCCAACACACAGGCACACACTTAAATATTACAAATTATATCAAACTTAGGAAGTTGTTGGCTATCAGCTAAGCCACCAAAATGAACTGTGTAGCCTGTCAAACATCCATGAAAGAAGTTTGAATCACTATAGTCTCCCTCACAAGAGCATTGAGAGTTCACATTTGGTCTACTCTAGCAGTTCCCCTTTTGGGTAGAATATGTTAACTCACCCTAACTTAATTCAAAATTGTTAACCAAACAAATATTAATACTTCTGATATGAAGTAAATGTAGTTGTTTATCAAGCTATGATGGCAGATCAAGCTGTTTAATGCCACCACTTAATATTCTTATTTATTTAGATTAAAAGAACTACAGACAGAAAATATGGCAGAATTCAAAAAACAGTTTTTCAAGGTGAAATATCTACCACTGTCACAAAGTAAAAGGTGACTGTACATATGATTTCATAATGGAACTTATGTATTTGTGTAGTTGGTAATACACTGTTGTTCTTGAGGCTTTCAACAACATTTTACTTACTGTTATGCAGTGATAAGCTGCATAGGATCACTTACATCATTTTAGTTAAGACACGTTCCAAATCCTCACACAGCCTCTCAGGTTCAACCCTGGTAAGTCTTTGGGATTTATTTTGGGATTTGACCTCCACCTACATGATCCTTGTTACATCACTTCATAATGGTTGTACATCAGCTGTACTGTTGTGTATGTTACTTGTGACAGTCTGCAGTTCCGATATATCAACCAGTACAGGCAACAAACGGACTTCAAAGACTGGACACTGGATCTTTAAGCAACTATGTGATTTGAAGACAAGGTCCAACTTTTTTCTTCAATGATTTGGAGGTTTATAAATTAACCTGCAGATTCAACTCTGGCACACTCTCGTGGAAATCAGCTTTGTATAAGGGCTACTGGATTGAGCCCAAGGGGTTCAAAAAATAATAAGCAGGCTGCACCACCTTACCCGCATGAATCATTATGCATAACAGTTTAAATCAACAATTCTTAAATCCTATGACTTCTTTAAAAGTACACTTTTCAAATTGTATTACTCTCTGCTACGTCATATTGCATTTTCCATAGTCTGTGGGCACTGATACCTCGTGAAAATGCACATAATTTATATGCATAGCCTTGTAACCTCAGTACTAAAGATGTGTCAAACAAATACACTACCTCTCACAGGTAGTCCAGGATGTGCGCATACTACACACAACACTGCATATTCATGTATGCATAATTTATAGTTTTAGAATTAAATGAATATGATTATCCTTGATCCATTTGATGGTTGAGTCCCTGGCAACTTGTAGTAGCAAAATAATCTTTTAAATAAATTGAATTATTTGGACTGAGTTTCCCTTCTGTTATCTATGAACTATTAGCAATACAGTTCAATTTTCTAAGATCTACTGAATTTTTTTGCAGACCATTTTCTATGAGTGTATTATTTTTAAGACTGGGAACTGTTCAGGAGAAACTAGCTGTGTATATTGACCACAACACTGTAAATTAAAACACAGTAAATTACAAACTACAGTTGACTGGACAACCAAGTCACATCGTGTTGTTTCTGTTGCTAATATGGGTTAACATCAAGCAGGTATCCATGTTTCTATACAGCAAATAAGCTCTGTGCGAGGCTTCTGTCTAAAATTTACCAGTTCTGCCAACGTCTCTGTCAGTGCATTAATTTGCCAAGGAAACTCTTAAAAGTGAACATAACAAGGGCATGAACACAGCTAAAACACAGCAGGTTTACATTCCCAAATGAGTATCTATAAAATACATAGGTATATGTTTACATGTGTGCACATGCATACATGTGAATGTTACCCATTCAAATTCACTCCCTGCCCACTTTACGTAAACTATCACAGCCATCCCATTTGGCTAGGGAAAGAAAACTCTAGAGGCAATTTGTGTCACGTTTCACATGCAGTAACAAGGCATTCAAGGCATTCGAGCAAAGAGGATTTAAGAGATGCTAATGAAAAGAGATGGCAACATTGGATAAGGCTGCAGGGTAATGTGCTGAACCCAAGTGACAGAGCTTGGGTGCAAATTGGATGAAAAAGACTGGGATGCATAGACGTATACAGAAGGCAAAGCTGAGAGATGCTGACATGGAAGGGTGGTGTATAATTTTTTTAAAGCTGATGTGCTCTTCCCTCAAGTCATTCACTGCTTGTTTACCATGACTACCCTTGCTGATTAGACATCCTTACAGTCCCATTATCATCTGCACCATGTATTTTCCTAATCAGGTGGTTTTAGCACGCATACTCAAAGAAAACGACATAAAAGATATCAGAGAAAAAAAAATAACTGTGCCAACTGAAGGCAAAGTCATGCTATTTCAAAAACGCTATTTCAACATCTGAAACTACAATTTACTTAGTTGTAACAATGAAAATTACAGATTTTAAATACAACAGCCCTCTCACTACTTGCTTTGAATGTAACAACTCTCAATCTGGAAAACAGAATACCGTAAAAAAGTGTCCTCCACTACCCAGTACCAACATTTACATTTAACATAATTTCTTGAGATTTAAAGTAACCTTCATGTCATTTTTCCTTGTCTTCTCTTAGCAAGTGAGTGGACTGTGCATTAGAGAAAGACACTGATTATAGTCATTATTGTATCATCTTGCACATTCTTAGGCACGCTATGGCCTGGTTTACACTACACAAGTTTTGCAAAAGATGTCATATTGCTAAAAACAAGGTCAGTTTAGCAGGAGCACCAGGAATCCCAGGAAGGTTATTTCCTTTCACTGCTCTTCTAGTATTTGCTAGCATTTTCTTCAGATAGGGTTTGACAACCTCATGCTTATACCACAGGCACCAGACAGCAAAGAAGTTAAGAGATACATGGATCAAACCGTTAAAGCTAAGCCTCAGTCGACAGGAGTGGGGCAAGTCCCCTCGGCTCCGCTTCTGTATGGATTTGTGTCCTGAATCCAATTTAATTGTGGATACACGGATCTCTGTGTCAATTAATCAAATTAACGCTTTTCTTTGGGGGAAAAAAAAAAAAAGAAAAAGGAAAAAAAGAGCTCCTAAGTTGTGTTTCCATCTCAAGCTTTTCAGTTAAGGTTCGGAACTGAAGCCGGATGCAGGACATGATCCCACTCTCATGGGCCCAAACAGAAACGGAGGCTTGCTGCCTCTTCTTTCAGACTCACCTTCCCACGCTTTCCTCCGCAGCATCCGAATTCAGAAACTCTGCCTGCCTGAACGCAAGCGCTTCGGGGCCCTTATCCTTAAGCAACACTGACAGACAGGCAGTGCTGCCCTTCCCCGAGGCGGTTTCGGTCCGGAGCCCGCTCCCGGCCCGCGGCGCCGGGAAGCCCCGGCAGCGCCTGCCCTCCCCGGCGGGGCGGCCCG